CTCTACAAGACTCCTAAGTACAGCATTATAACCATACATAGGTGGACTAATGCCTTTCACCCTCATTTCCCTTAATAGAGCAATAGCCTTATCTGGCATTTTCAACTTGCAATGCTCATTTACAATAACTGCATATGATTTCTGATCAAGCTCCAAACCAGAACCAACCATCTCCCTGAAATGTTGAATGGCCTCATTCGATCGCCCTGCAGCACAATATCCCTTCAGCAAACTCGTTTGAGTCGTTACATTATCCTTCACTCCACTAAGTCTCATCCTAGTCTGCATCTTCTTGGCCTCGTCAACCATTCCATTCAAACACAATCCATTGATCAGAGCATTATAGGTCGACACATTAGGCCTGACATTCCTCTTCCCCATCTCATCAAACCACCTCATGGCCTCGTCTGTATTCCCTATCCTACAAAACCCATCAATCAATGTGGTAAAAGTAACCATATCAGGCAAATAAACCCTACTCTCAACCATTTTATCTACAATGCTTCGAGCATTTTCCATTAGACCTTTCTTACAGAACCCATGAACAATAGTATTGTAAGTAAACAAATTTCTCTCACACCCCATTCGGGACATTTCATCAAACACCTTCTCGGCATGCTCAATCATGCCTACTTGACAAAACCCCCTAATCATTGTTGTATATGTGGAAACATCAGGCTTTACAACAGCCTCTTTAATCATCATCCCGAAGAATCCCCAGGCCAAGTTAACCCTCTTAGCCTTAACCAAAACGCCTAAGACTGCATTATATGAAAACAAGCAGTCCCCAAATTCTCTCTCTTTTACATGATGAAAAAGCTTAACAGCCCAATTTAAATGGCCTAAATCCCCATGAGCTTTGATAAATTTCCCCACCATAAAATCAGAATATCTGTCGTGGGATTCAAGTAATCTAGTTGCCAAAGAAAATAATCTATGGGATATTAGCTTGTCAGCAATGGCAATGTAGCAATGGTGTGTGTGGAAGTAATTACTGGCGTTGGGGTTTAAGTTAGCAGCCCAGTTGAAGAAGTAAAGAGAATGGTAAGGGTTGTTTGGTTGTTAATAACTTGGATGACTAATTTGGGCGTCAAATGGGGTGAGAATTGGTTGAGAATATCGGGGAGCTCCGTCTCTGGGTTTACCGTTTTCTGGAGGATTGAGGTTATGGTGTTGACCAGCCAACGGATTCAGGGACTAGCGGTGACAGGCGTTTTGAGAGGTGAGAATTGGCGACTGTGGCCATTGCTAGCGGCTCAGCTCTTCTCTGGCATCGGCAGCAGCCCGGTTGCCGTTTAGCGCTTGAAAATTGGCTCCTGCCTGAGTTTCTCAGGCCAGGAAATTAGGACGTTTAATTGCTTCTAGGCCCTCAAAATGTCAAATATATAGTACTTTCCAAGTTTCAGTAGAAAACCTGAATTCTTGTTTATATGTTGCCTTCCGTACTACTAATTTTGTATTGTAACAAGAAGGTGCTTGTTTCATGGGAATATTTATAGTTGACTCTTTCATTCAAGTAATCTCTTATCCAGATGAACAAACATACAATTGAAAGACGGATAGTTTTGTCAATGTTTAGGTGCTTAATAATTTAAGTCGGCAAAGCTGCAATCGTTTCTTAGCTCAACATAATTCTTTGTTTGGATTCCTGTAGATGAATATCTGTTCAATTAATGAATCATTACGAATATCAACATGATCTGAAAAGCTAACTTTCGGTATAAGTTGCATATTTTGTGCTGGCAACGGCAAGCATTAATCAGAAAACTTGCATCTTCCTGAGAATTTTTTGGTCAAGTACAATCCATTGTTGTCCAGACTGAGTGAGAAGTGCTGACTTGGTGTAATATTAGCACTGTGGAGGCCTAAGAGTAGAAACATCAAGTGGTTGTGGAGCTGGTGAATCCTATTATTGGGCCAGGACATGATATGAATCCGGATGCTATCCAATTCTTCCATTGCTGAAGTGAGTGTTTCCTTAATTTCAGCATTGTCACAACAATGTATTAGACCGTCAGAGCTGACTGTTGAAGGCATGAGGCTCCTTCCTTCTAACCGCGAGATCACGACCAGATGACCAGTTTTGTTTGCTTGCTCAAGTAAGTCCCCGAGACCAGCACGTTCAGCGGCTGTTTCTTTTGTTACAGAATGGACATAGATGAAACCCTGGAATGAACAACAGCATGAGTAAATTAGCAGCTTAATTAAGAAATGAAAATTTTGTCAAAGTAGTTTATTGTAGGTCTGTCAAGGACTTTTGTCTAATCCCTGGTTTTGTTCCTGACAGAAGACTGCTGATATTTATCAACTGTAAGGGATGATTTTTCTGTCACCTCATCAATTCTGCTGATGTTCATTCCGAATCTGGTTTCTCCTTTTTCTGGTGTCAACTTGAATGACACCTCTGCAACCCCCGGGAGAAACCATAATCTGATACCTTGCAATCTTTGGACATCTGTAGTGTATTTCTGTTGCCTGATCCTTGCACTCTCTTTTCTCGGGATGTTACTTCTCTTCTTTGAAAAGAAAACAGAAAATATAGAGGGTTCAGATTAGTTCCAAAGTTCCTTTGGGGAATTCGAAGCTTAAAGCAACAAGTGCATTAGTATTAATTAGAAGGATGAGGCATGCGGGTAATTTTATACGTTCTCGTGGAAGAGTGAATTGGGTGAAGCAAGCTGCTAAATTAAGGATGTGAGTAGTCAAGAACAATACCGAGTTGGTAATTTGCTCTGTTTGAATGTTAACAAACACAAGGGGAGCCCCTGAAGAAACAGCTGCTGAAAACCAGGCCATGGTTCTCGTTGTGGTGGCTTCAATGTTGTGCTCTCTCTCCAGAGGCATGAAAAGAATGGAACTAACAACTGTAGACCCCTCATCCGGAATATAGGTCCCAACTTTCATTTTCCAGTCGTACTTTATCGCTTCTTTATTGAATCCCCTGGAGTCCATAGTCACTATCTTCCTACTCATTTCTGTATCAAGTTGACATGTTACTGCATAGTTTCTTAAATTTCACTTCATACAAAATGCTAGTAATTTGGGGGCTACAATCATACATGAAATGCATAACGTTCCCTACTGTAGCCAACCTATATGGATATTGTAGTTTGGCCCTGCAAAAGGGGTAGGAGAAGGCAAGAAGCTGAACCTAGGTGGTGACCTAATCAGCCTTTACCTATTGGAAAGTGGTTCTAGATAGGACCAGCATCAGAACAGACATGTCATTAGCTACGATAAACTTTTCAGAATCAGATGGGAACTGTAGCTGAAGTTTTCTGATCTATGCATCATTTGATTATCTGAGAAAGTTAACTGTACAATTGGCTTCTAGAGAGAAAAACATCACGTACCTTGGAGTGCAGTACATTGTTCATAAGTTAAATCTGCTAAACCCACAACATGCCTCTCATCAGAGGCTGCTCTAATGGTAAACCTCCTTTGCAACTTTGAACATCCCTTTTTCACCACACATGCTTGGAGCTTGAGTACGCTATCCCCTCTCCTCACCTTCAACCAAATCACTTCAGTCTGTCGACTAAAGCTTCCAAGTTGTGAACTAAGTACTGACCTTGCCTTGGCTGGTACGAATGTGTTAGCAGCAGCACCTGCCGCTATGCCTTCTATAATGTCTCCAGGCAATGGCATGCTCTCGTCCCATTCTTCTGCCACTTTTTGCTTCACTTTCTTCACACAAACCACTCTCTGATCACTGCCCATTTTACTTCGGCCTTAAAATTGAGCAATGTTAGCTCTTCTTCAAAGAGTCCGACAAATTTATACTATACTCTTCCAAATATGTAGTAACTCTGAGATGCCATAGATTAAGCATAATACGGACAAATCAAAGTGAATTTATAGTACTCAACGTTTAGGTTTATCGTAAAATGATCTTGGTTTGATGCTACGTACATTTGGTGTCATAGTTGGCGTTATGGCATATGAAGTTTAAAATCTTAAAAGATTCCCTTTAAATGCTGCATTGTGGGTGTCATCCCTACCATTAGATGTTAACAATGTTTTTGTTTTCTACTTATTAGCTGGCTTTCACATTTCTTGTTACTAAGAGCAACCACAGCGCGGGTGTAATGGGGAGCCATTACACCGCTCCATGACACGGCTCCCCATTGGAGCCGTGTCATGGAGATGGGGAGCCGTGTCATGGAGATTACAGCCGTGTCGTGGAGATTACACGCATCATGGATATGATGCGTGTAATCCATTGAAGGTGGGCCCTATGGCATTTGAAGTATCAAATATTTGTTTAATTTCCTACATAATTATTTTTAAAAAAATAACAATATATTATTTTTGAAACATAGAAAAAGATATATTATTCAAACTTAAAAATTAATAATATCATTTTTACAAAATAAAAAAATTCAAAATGTACAAAATTTAACAAAAGTTAGTACTTTATTTTTTAAAAATAACAAAATTAGTTTTAAAAATTACTTTATTTATTTATGGGATATGAGTTATGCATTATTAAAAAAATATTGATTAATTGTGGATCCATGCTTTTACACCTTGTGGAGTGTAATCCATTGTGAGTGAAAGTGTAATAAAAGAGGAGAAAGTGGAATGCTGACGTGGCATGTGGATTACACTCCACAAAGTGTAATAGCATTGTGGATGCTCTAAGCTTAGCAACCATTATTTTATGGGAGAATGACATTGATTGACCTAAGACAGAGCTTTCAGGTTTCTTGTTACTAAGGTTAGTAAACAATAGAGCAAATTATCCGATTGGCTACTAAACTTTTACAATTGTCAAGTTTTGGTCACTCAACTATTAAAAGTCTGGTTTTGACCACTAAAATATATAAAGTTAAGATGCAAGGCCATTCCGTTAGATTTAGCCGTTAAGTTCGCCGATCTGTCTGTCCGCACGATTTCCAAGACAAAAGGCATGGTCAATTTAGGAAGTTCAACACTGGCCATCCTCTTAAACAACTTCATCTCCTCTCCAACAGAGGAGATCTGACTCTGATTCCCCTATGGCAGAAGAAACGTCAGCCTCTGATTCCCCTATGGCAGATCTGACTTGCATGACTGGTAACAAAACATGTACCAGTTTAGGAGCAGTTGGGAGTGCTTCAGGAGTCATGCTTTGTGATATTTGCTGCAGTGAACCTGGTTTCTGGCGAGATTGTTGTTGTATTCTTTGTTGTAAGACCGTAAGTTCATCTTATGGTGGGTATAGTTATATTAGGTGCCAAGCATTACTAAATGGTTATGCTTGTGGTCATGTTGCCCATTTAAACTGTGGTCTCCGGGCTTATATGGCTGGTACAGTTGGGGGGACTATTGGTTTGGATGCAGAGTACTATTGCAGGCGCTGTGATTCAAGGTTGCAGGCGCTGGTACAGTTGTAGAAGAACGAAATTACATACCTCTCCCTTCAAGTACTTCGAGTACTTTGTTCTCTGTTGAGGAAAGAAGGAAGAAAGTGAAGGTCAGGCATGCATCTGGGTAGATAAATTCCATGGATCTGATTTCCAGAGTTTCTAATTAAATTCAAGTTTTTTGAGATAAGGGTCCACCACCCAAACAAAATATAGGTTGGGGCATCCATCTGCAGATGTCTCCTCCGCCAAGTGAGAAAGAAGGAAATGTTTTAAGGTCTTGAAGCAAGGGATTGATTGGGTTGCCTATACATAGGGGGACGGGACTTAACAACTGCACCTGGCAAGGGAAGTAGATATCTATTTTGCTTACACAGATCAGTACTGAACTGGAATAGCATCCTCGCTCATCACCTGTTATTTCGGGAAGCAAGAAGGTATCCTTTGATTACCTACCTTCGACCAATAACGCATACTTCGGATTCAAGGTTGGATCTTGTTTCACATGTCAGAAAACTTCTAAAGACCTGTGAATCTATCGACTCTCGGGATGACATTGAAATGATTCTGAGTGTTGGAGAGGAGATGAAGTTGTGTAAGAGGATGGCCAGTGTTGAACTTCTTAAATTGACCTTGCTTTTTGTCTTGGAAATCGCACGGACAGACAGATCGGCGAACCTAACAGCTAAATCTAACTTTATACATTTTAGTGGTCAAAATCAGACTTTTAATAGTTGAGTGACCAAAACTCGACGATTGCAAAAGTTTAATGGTCAACCGGATAATTTGCTCTAAACAATATTATACGGCAAAATGACCTTGATTTTAGAGAGTGCTCCAACAAAGGAGCACATTTCTTGTGCTCCTAAGCTCCTGCAAGCACTTCCCGTTTATTTTTATTCATCAATGCCTTCATCTTGTATTAGATGGAGTCATTGTAATTGGAAAAAAAAAAAAAAAAAAAAGGAAGAAGAAGAAGCAGTCTCACACCTTTCAGATAAATAATCATCTGAGTCATTAACTGATATATCGATACACACCACAGATAGCAGATACTCCTCAAGATTCAGATAGAAGACTCTCGGACTTGTTGCAAAAGCAATATAACATCCTTATGAAATATATATACTGCAAGGTACAAAATTGTTGTACCTTTTAAGGCATATCGAGAACATCTATCTACAATTTGATCATCCATTTACCCAGCTAGCGAGGTGCCATTGATACATACTCGTTACATATTTTTTATGAGACATACTCATTACAGAATTAACGTACGAATCCAACTCTATTATGCACATTTGGATTTTCTTTTTCAAATGGAAAACAGAAGGCTCTTCTTAGATCTCTAATTATCGAGCCCAAAATTTCCTAAAAACTGTAGGAGTTTTATTACATTGGTGACTTTCACCTTCACGTACTGAGTTCTGCAAAAATGTTTTCCAGCTTTTGCTCAAGCACCTGTATTTCTGCCAAAACTTGAGCTCTTTCTTCAGCAGTAGCAGCGGTTAAACTCTGTTGTTTCATTGATATTTTTCTCTTGATGCCTTTTATCTGAAACAATGACACACACACACAAACAGACAGATGAATTATGTAATTTATGTGTGACAAGAAGAAGAGAAAGGAGACAAAATGAGGTAGATATGAAGAGGAAGATAGGAAAGCGAAAATAACCCAAGAATGGAGCAGCATAACAAACACATACACACACACACGCAAATGAGTGCATGTAAGTAGGCACACACAAGATCGTGGACAGAGACCTTTCTGTATGGCCACCTTGACAATCCACCCTGCCTGCATTTCTTCTTGATCACAGTAGGGCAGACTTTCAATTTTCTAGCTGCAACAGTTATGGGAAGATGGAAAAAATCTGAGAAATCTTTCAATTTCATCTTGCCTGTCCTCTCCCTCTGCTCTACTCAGCAGCACAAATGACAAATTAATCAGAAGAAAGATTGAGGGATAAAGCCATATTCTACAATTAATTCCCATAACACTGTAGTCAGAAATGTGCTGCAGATGTCCAAGACGAGTACAACTAACCTGTGCGGCAAGTGAGCTCTTAGAAGGTTGTCTACCGCCCTCTTCTCCCTTGTCTTGGGTAAGAATTTCTTGCCTGTCATTCCTAGCAAGTCTTGATCCATAGTTCTCTGGCTTTTGTAGACTTGCAATGTCTTGTTGGTTCATCTGACCAATATCCGTTTGAGAACCGCCTATTAGAAAAAGTTCATCAGTGGACACAACACAGTCTCATGCAGCTCTATAGACAGTATATTGGACCAATTCATGGGGTAACTCTTAATCATCCTGGCAGGTTTCTTAAAGTCTATCAAGCAAAAAGAGGAGTTAAATAACCTGAGAACACTGAAGATGGTTGGAGAAAAGGGTCATCATGGTTCTGTTTCTCATTAAATCCAACACACAAGGCCTCATAGAAAACTGATAGTGGATCTTGTATCATTGTGTAGCCTTCCCGCTTGCGTTCTTGGCAATACTGAACTAAGAAATTTTTCACACTGTCTATGCTTTCCTTGCAAAAGCTGAAGGATCAGAAATAAAGAGCAAATAAGTTAGTTAGTTGAATATGAAAAGGACTACACTATAAGCAAGGCAGAAAAGTGAAAAATTGCTGGATAAGTTTCATATCACTTACTCGAACATCCGATACTGATGGTTTCGAGTAGACCAGTCCATTTCATATGTATCAAGAACTCCATGACTGATAACTCCCAGTCGTCCATGAATCTCAAAATTTTATGTGTGTATAAAAAAAAAAAAAAAAAAACCAATGTGATAAACGTAAATCGAACTATCCTCCATTAAAACTCCGATAAAACTACAACTGGCCCAACGAAAAAAGAAGGAACAGTGGCAGGATTTGGCAGAAGCTCACCATTAATGTGAATAATTTCCCTAAGTATATGACAGCAAGAACAGTTATACGGAGAGGAGGAACAGGCCAAACTGACAGTTGCATTGGATTCCCAAAACCAGAACTAGCCTGGGGAGGCATGGCACCACTAAAATCGCTCGAGTTATTTCCTTGGCCAATAATCCTTTCTCCATGAATTCCGGAAGAACCCGCCTCACAGTTCCCTGCTGCTGCATTGCCTCCAGTGGACTCACTGTTAATCACCTCCATATGAATGGATCAGAGAGGGGATCATTAGGATCCAAAATGTTATCGATACCAACTCCTAGAGGTTGAGATTGAGGGAATAACATAGGATGGCGAGAACTGGGCTCTGCAATTTCAGGAAATTCGGCTAATCCCAGACAAGGAGTTTCATTGTTAAACATTAGGATTTGGTCTGCACTGGATGGATCATCGGTCGGGTCATGGTAGGGAACAATGGAACAGTGCTTATTTTCCATTTCTTTTTTCGCCATGATGATTATTTGTTGGCGACGCTTGGTGGAGACCAAGCGCCGCAACAAGAAGGAAAACAAAGCGCAGAAAAATCTTGTGTCTGAAATTTGTTCTGGTTTTAAAGATGAAGAGAAGCGGGAGTTGCAGTACAGGCGGTTGAGTACCGTTGAGAGGATGACGACGTTTGGTTTGATTTTTAAATGGGTTAATTTCACATACCTCCATGAGGTTTTTAACAATTGCAGAAAGCTCTCCTCAAATTCTAAAAATACACTTACCTCCCCTATTTTCACTATTTAAGTAACATTCTAGACCCAAAAGGTTATACTTTTTTTCCAAAATTTCTATAATGCCCTTGAGTTATAATTCACAACAAAAATGTAAAGGAAAAAAATGGTTCACAGTTTCTATTTCATTTATCTTTATTTCCTACAACTATTACCTACTAATTAACATCCAAATCACCATTAAATAAATGCTTATCTTTGTTCTAATGTTCATCTTTTACCTAAAATTTCTTATGCAGACCATTGTATCAACTATAACGCTACCGCTCATATACCCAAAAACTTACCTACAATCTCATAACAAATATCAAATTTTACTTAATATACTATAATATTCATCAATATCCTAAAATTTAATTCCATGATTATTGGATTGCACAAAATAATCTAATATCAATATCCAATAGCTCCATTGGCACAGAGTCTAAAATCAATCAAATTCTCTTTATAGGAATAATATCAATAATTGTAAATCAAAAATAGAAACACAATGCAATTATAAATATCTATCAAAAACATTTTTTTTCATGATAACCTATACTTGGTTCCGATCCACTTCTTATACTTAATTTTTATTTTTTATCACTGTCACTATTTTCATCTCCATCTAGTTTGATAATGAAATTAGCACTCAATTTGTCATTTGACAAATTTAATTTGCTAATAAATAGTACCTATCAACAATTGGAAACAAAAATGGGCGCTAGGAAACCATTTAATAATAATGGAAAATCGAGAATTGGGAATAGATACCAAGATATATAAGTATTGGTGGTTTACCATGTATGATGATTTTATTAGTAGATATAGTACACATTTAGTTGATAACAATAAAGCACAGAAAAATCGTGTCTGCAACTTTTTTCTGGTTTTAAAGATGGAAAGAAGCGGGAGTTGGGGCACAAGTAGTTGAGTGCCGTTGAGGAAGACGATGTTTGGTTTGATTTGTAAAGGCCCGTTTCATACGCAGGAATGGATGCTTGTGTTATGAAAAAAAGTATTGAAGAGGTGATTAGTGAATTTGTAATGTCTATTTAAGAAGAAGGTGAAAAAAATGCGAGAAATATGAGAAATAAACGGAAGGTAATGTAAAAGAAACTAACTTATGTATTAAAGAATTGTAATCTACTCAATTTGCAAAAATCACTAAGTAAAACAAGAAGTTAGTGCAAGGACGAAAAGAAAATAAGAATAGAAAATAACACAAAGATATAAGAAATTATTGACATAACCGCATAATAATTCATAATTTAAAATTATCTTTGACCATAATAATTTCATACAAATTTCAACACTTAATGCAGCCATTGTGTGTAAATTTATCTGAGGATGAATTGCCAATGAATAGTTTAGAAGCATCCTTGAAATTTACTTCAATTACAAATTTCTCTAGTGAATTTTTCTAGATTGTGCCTAGAACAAAAACATATAACATAAAATGGCTTCACAAATGATGCTACTATAAAGAAAAAATCGTGAGAACTGGGCTCTGCAATTTCAGGAAATTCGGCTAATCCCAGACAAGGAGTTTCATTGTTAAACATTAGGATTTGGTCTGCACTGGATGGATCATCGGTCGGGTCATGGTAGGGAACAATGGAACAGTGCTTATTTTCCATTTCTTTTTTCGCCATGATGATTATTTGTTGGCGACGCTTGGTGGAGACCAAGCGCCGCAACAAGAAGGAAAACAAAGCGCAGAAAAATCTTGTGTCTGAAATTTGTTCTGGTTTTAAAGATGAAGAGAAGCGGGAGTTGCAGTACAGGCGGTTGAGTACCGTTGAGAGGATGACGACGTTTGGTTTGATTTTTAAATGGGTTAATTTCACATACCTCCATGAGGTTTTTAACAATTGCAGAAAGCTCTCCTCAAATTCTAAAAATACACTTACCTCCCCTATTTTCACTATTTAAGTAACATTCTAGACCCAAAAGGTTATACTTTTTTTCCAAAATTTCTATAATGCCCTTGAGTTATAATTCACAACAAAAATGTAAAGGAAAAAAATGGTTCACAGTTTCTATTTCATTTATCTTTATTTCCTACAACTATTACCTACTAATTAACATCCAAATCACCATTAAATAAATGCTTATCTTTGTTCTAATGTTCATCTTTTACCTAAAATTTCTTATGCAGACCATTGCAGACCATTGTATCAACTATAAACGCTACCTCATATACCCAAAAACTTACCTACAATCTCATAACAATATCAAATTTTACTTAATATACTATAATATTCATCAATATCCTAAAATTTAATTCCATGATTATTGGATTGCACAAAATAATCTAATATCAATATCCAATAGCTCCATTGGCACAGAGTCTAAAATCAATCAAATTCTCTTTATAGGAATAATATCAATAATTGTAAATCAAAAATAGAAACACAATGCAATTATAAATATCTATCAAAAACATTTTTTTTCATGATAACCTATACTTGGTTCCGATCCACTTCTTATACTTAATTTTTATTTTTTATCACTGTCACTATTTTCATCTCCATCTAGTTTGATAATGAAATTAGCACTCAATTTGTCATTTGACAAATTTAATTTGCTAATAAATAGTACCTATCAACAATTGGAAACAAAAATGGGCGCTAGGAAACCATTTAATAATAATGGAAAATCGAGAATTGGGAATAGATACCAAGATATATAAGTATTGGTGGTTTACCATGTATGATGATTTTATTAGTAGATATAGTACACATTTAGTTGATAACAATAAAGCACAGAAAAATCGTGTCTGCAACTTTTTTCTGGTTTTAAAGATGGAAAGAAGCGGGAGTTGGGGCACAAGTAGTTGAGTGCCGTTGAGGAAGACGATGTTTGGTTTGATTTGTAAAGGCCCGTTTCATACGCAGGAATGGATGCTTGTGTTATGAAAAAAAGTATTGAAGAGGTGATTAGTGAATTTGTAATGTCTATTTAAGAAGAAGGTGAAAAAAAATGCGAGAAATATGAGAAATAAACGGAAGGTAATGTAAAAGAAACTAACTTATGTATTAAAGAATTGTAATCTACTCAATTTGCAAAAATCACTAAGTAAAACAAGAAGTTAGTGCAAGGACGAAAAGAAAATAAGAATAGAAAATAACACAAAGATATAAGAAATTATTGACATAACCGCATAATAATTCATAATTTAAAATTATCTTTGACCATAATAATTTCATACAAATTTCAACACTTAATGCAGCCATTGTGTGTAAATTTATCTGAGGATGAATTGCCAATGAATATAGTTTAGAAGCATCCTTGAAATTTACTTCAATTACAAATTTCTCTAGTGAATTTTTCTAGATTGTGCCTAGAACAAAAACATATAACATAAAATGGCTTCACAAATGATGCTACTATAAGAAAAAATCGTTGTCATTCTTTTACTCTGGTACTCATGGGATGAAGTACACAATAGTAATTCCTTAATATCAATAAAAATATTGTTAAATAACTTACTAATTTTTTACAAAATTTTGTACCATGATAAATGAACCACCAAAATATAGATGTTTGCTACTCAAAATCAAACCTAGTTTCTGAAGAAAAGAAAGTTAAACAATTTAATAGAAACAGTTAACAATAAAGCAAATTATAGTTAGATGGACACTTCTTGCACCAATTCCCAAAGATTATAACTCACATACCAAAAAGAAATAGTAGGTTTTTTTAAGAGAGTCTTATTAAAATTTTATGTCTAGTATTTCCATTTTAAGTGAATGAGGAATGTATGCGTACTTTTTAAAATCTTGAGAAAGTTCAGTAAAATTATTAAAAATCTCAAGAGAGGCGTCTGAAATTATCCCATTATATAAAAGAGAAAAACTTGAATTTTGCACTAAATACAAACACAAGTATAGTTGAACTCTTAAAAATAGAGCAAATCACCAATTTAGTCCCTAAACTATTTTACTAAAGCCAACATAGTCCCTAAACTTGATTATGACCTAATTTAGTTCCTTAACTATTTTTACATAACCAAAATAGTCTTTAAACTTTATTATGAGCCAATTTAGTCCTTCAACTATTTTGCTTAAGTCAAAATAGTCCCACACCTATGTTTACATGGCTCATCCACCCAATTTACTAAATTTTTGCACCAACAATTAGGGGCAAAATAGAAAATTCAGTCATTGCCCTTATTAAAACAATAGAAAAACATATATTTGTGAGAAAACGGACAACGAAATTCAACCATATAGAGAGAGCAAAAAGACAAATAAAAGCTTCTTAAGGTGAAAAAATTAGAGCTGATGCCTAAAAAAAAGTTCACAAGGATCCAAATCAATCCATTAGATGGAAATATAGGGGAAAATAACATGATAAGATTATGCAAAAAAGAAAAAGAAAAAAAATGTGCTAAGTTGGAAGAAGTTCTTTTTTTTTCCTTTCCATAAAATTCAATTCCATTGTCAGTTTCTCAACAAATATCGATTTGTTCCATGGTTTTAGAAAGGGTTATGCTAGATTTCCTCATTTGCCCTTAATTATTGGTGCAAAAAATTTGATAAATCAGGTGGATCGGCCAAATAAGGATTGAATTGCCCTCGTAAATATAGGTGAGGTACTAATAAATTGACTCAGTCTAAAGTTTAGAGACTATTTTGGTTTTAGAAAATTGTTTAGGGACTAAATTCGTATTTTGCTCCTTAAAAAGATATACCGCACTCTTCTCTATTTATTTATTTTTTGATATCTGTAAAAACAACACAAACGACATCGTGTAGTTTGACGTTGCCCTTTGACCAGTTGATTAGACTTTGAAGTCTGAAGTGGCATTAGCAAGGCCAGGCTGAGGCAGCTGGAATACTCAATACTGAGATGGGGAAGGAAAGAAGGAAATGAACAATGAATTTGAGTGGCTGCTTCTTTCTTCCCAAACAGTCTCCATTCTACCTCTTCTCCTTGTCTTATTGTTATTATTCGGCTGCGCCGTCTTTGATTCTCCGGCCGTCTGTTCCGCGCTCTGTTCTACGCCTTACTACTCCCTTTCTCCACCGTCCTCCATCTCACCACCTAAATCCAAAACGTACAATTAAAAGCAGCAGCACCTGCCTCAAGTCAACGCCTACTACACTCTCAGCAACAGCAGCAGCAGCAGCAGCATCAGAATCATCGTCATCCATGGCGGCTTTCTCCGAACAAGCTAGGGTTCCCCCGGCTCTGCAGTTACCCACCCCTCCCATAACCAAGGCAACTTTAATTATGAAAAGCTTTCTCTCACATTTGCTATTATTATCTGTTGTGTTTTAATTTATGTATTGGTGAATGTATCTCTGATTGAAAATTATTGGTTTTATTGTTTAATGTAGTTTAAAATTGGTCTCTGTCAATTGGCTGTGACGCCGGACAAGGAGAGGAACATCCTTCATGCTCGGACTGCCATTGAGGAGGCTGCTGAGAAAGGCGCTAAACTCGTCGTTTTACCCGTAAACTCATGCCCTTTCACCATTTTCCTCTTTCATGCCCAACTTATTCTGAAGTGTGAAAATTGAGTTATATGCTTGCTATTAGCTTTTCACCTTTTTTTTTTCTTTTTTCTTTTTCAAGTGTTTGAATTTGTTATTGATTAGTCTTTGCTAACGATAGCTAGAAAGAACTTGTTAGCATTCCAATTTCAATATTTAATTATACTTGTGAAATTTGCAATAAATTGGGCTTGGAAAAGATGAATTTCGATTGTTTTGGCTATAGTTGGAGGGGAACTTGATAAACCTTGTTTACATTTGGAAGCATTGAATTTTTTATGGGGTTTAGATTTTATCTCTCTCTCTCTCTCTCTCTATTTGTTGCATGATATTGTTTGAATTCTTCAAGTTATCTAGACATTGAAGATACCAAGGATTTGTCGTAACTCGGAAAAAAATTCGTGTATGAAAACAACTTTTGGATCTCCATGCTAGAAATTTGAGAAATTCCAGCGTGTTCCTTGAACAATAAAAATTTTGGAATTTTACTATAGTTTAAAGGTATTTTCTTGGTTTGAGGATCAGTGCATGTAAATAATTTTGGAACAGAAACTTCTGGATCTCCATGCTAGAAATTTGAGAAATTCCAGCGTGTTCGTTGAACAATAAAAATTTTTGGAATTTTACTCTAGTTTCAAGGTATTTTCTTGGTTTGAGGATCAGTGCATGTAAATAATTTTGGAACAGAAACATGGCCAACATATTGAGACCAACAGTTTCTCTTCTTATAGCAAGATGAAATATATTCCAGTCATTTTGATCTAGTGGATTTATCTCTACTTGCTAAATGTTTGTACTGCATCTTGGCTTATGTTATAAACATAGGCTTTATTTATTAAGTTGAGAAGAGAAGGACCACATTAACTCTGGTGTTAAAACATTTTTCCCAACACTGAACTAACTTTTCTATGTCTTGTCTTATTGCATAAAGAATTGATGCAGTATTCCTCCTAAGAAATTCAGTTTGATTGTTGAATTTTGCAAGTGGTATGAGATGAAAGTTATGTTTCCCTCTTTTTCAGGAAATATGGAATGGTCCATATTCAAATGATAGCTTTCCGGTTTATGCTGAGGACATCGGTGCTGGTTTTGATAAATCTCCTTCTACGGCCATGTTGTCTGAAGCTGCTCGTCTTCTGAAGGTCACTATAATAGGAGGATCAATTGCTGAAAGAGACGGGGATAAATTGTATAATACTTGTTGTGTCTTTGATACAGATGGAAATCTGATAGCTAAACACAGGAAGGTATTTATCTTGTCTCCATTTCTTGTATTTGCTTAAGGCTATCTAATATGTGAGTCCAAGGAAAGTAATTTCAGTCTGATCAGTCTCCTGGTGTTCTTATTCAAAAGTATCTGTTGTTATTGAGTTCAAGAATTGTCATTAAGGGGTCGTAAATCCTGTGTACATTTTGTTGATAAGGAGTTTGAAAAATTCAGGATAATCTGCAGTTTGGTGATGGCGATGTTCTTTGACATGACAAAGTGCTTTAATAAATGACACATGCTCATTCTAGACTATTGTCATCTAGACCTTTTCTTTTTGTTAGATTTGTCTAGGCAGCATATCTATGTATATACAGACTGACAGACACAAAGGCACATACACACACTCACTCATACACATGCACATGTTTATTGTCTGGCCAAATTAGATCCTTCTCCAAGTTGTCCTTCATGTCTACTTGTTCTACTTCAGAATTAACTCAAATAATTTGAAGAACTTCTGTTTGAGCATCTAGAACTTCTATTAACAGTCAATCATATTATGGTTATGAATCACAAAAGAAATAGCTAATTACAGTAAATCATGTTAAAATTGTTTAACATATTGAAGTAAGTTTCTAATGTGCATCATACTTGTCTCAGATACACCTTTTTGATATCGACATTCCTGGTAAAATTTCCTTCAAGGAATCAAAGACTCTTACTGCTGGGGAGTCTCCTACAGTTGTAGATACTGGTATGCAGAATAGATGTGCCGTTGTAGTCTAAACTTCTAACAACAGTCCTGCTTCCTTTACCTTATCCTTTATGAGTTTACTCCTTATCATCAATTACTGAAAAGCCGCTATGGAGGCACTGGTTGCCTACTTATTTTATGAATAAATTTGGCAAGTTTCGCTTGCAAAAGCAATCAATATCTATGGAAAGTGTGATAGTGGAAAAAAATGAAGCACTAAATTGAAAACTAGGACAAAAGTGAATAGAACTTTAGTTATAGCATCCTAATTACACTATCGTACTGTTACCTTTTCTTTTGTTCAAGTTGAGGTCCCAAACCAACAAAATTCATTTTCTTTTAGGCAATTTAAGTCAAAGAAATACAGAAAACTTTGGGTAACCTCAAAGACGGAAAATATCATCTGATATTGGACTATATATATATTATATATATATATCTGTGTTTTTATACTTTATGTATTCTCTGTTGAACTCTTTGATAATGTTTATAATATCTGCTGCATATCTGTTAATCTAATCACTTCCTGCAGAGGTTGGACGGATTGGCATTGGTATCTGCTATGACATTCGATTTCAAGAATTGGCAATATTATATGCAGCAAGAGGTTTGTGCTGTCTATATGTCTTTTCTGATTCTTTTTCATCTGCATCTTAATAGGTAGCAAAATGATATCCATGATGTAAGTTTTGGTGAACAGAGGAGAGAATAGGTTGCAAGACCCTAATGGATCTAAAAATTCCCAGATTAGGATATAAACCTCGATTTCAAGTGGTGAAGTATTTCAGTTTAGTCGTGTGTCAGCATGAATACTTTTACAGCAAGATTATTGCTTTAGACGGAAGTTTATAATTCTTCAGTTCTGTATTGCTTTCTTATTACTAGGCTTGGTGCTTGATATCTGTTCAGGCTGTCTGCAGCATTGCTAGGCTTCGAGCTATTAGTTCCTTTGTGTTATTCTTAGTCTGTAAATGACATATATTGTCTAGTTAGTGACTACTGGATATATCTTGGGCTACTATCTTGTAATCTTGAGTTTTCTTGTGGGCTTCTCAACTATATCGTTTTCAATGCAACTGTTTGGTAAAAGGCATTAAATTAGATTGACAAGGGCTATAGATTCAGAAATTAGCACTTCTAATATAAGGCATGATATGATACTTAGTGGTTGCTTATGGACTTCTTCCTCATGCCCACTTTTTTTTGTTAACTATTATATAATCCTTTGGCAATCATCAGGAGCACACTTGATTTGCTATCCTGGTGCATTCAATACAACTACTGGGCCATTGCATTGGGAGTTACTCCAAAGAGCAAGGTGATTATACATTTTGATAGTTGGCTATAAATTCCTCTATGGTAACAGTTTTGTTTTTGACAATTGATTTTTATTACCCTGAATTGAGTCCAGTTGGACAACAATACGTTAGGCTAGCTTGGATTATTTAGTTCTTTTCTTGGCATCTTCATGGCCCAGATAGTAAACTATTCAGATAATGTTGCGTTTGTAAGAGAGAACTGAGCCTTCATGACTCATTTGTAACAAAATTATTTTCACATAGATGCAAAGTGAAAACACCTCACAAACAGATATTCTTGTTAGGTAATGCAACCTTTCCACTTAAATTAGAGTAGTTTTAACCTCCCGAGTCACCTTGTTGCACCTTTGCTTACTATTTTTGCTATAGAATGTGCTCAACTTTTTGTCCCTTGCAATTTAGTTGTTCTATTTGACCAAGCATACTGCTTTAGTGTTGTACATAGTTTGCCCTTAGATACAATCCATGAACTTAAGTTGAATTTAGATCTTGCCATGATTGCTAAATCCAGGCTGCTGACTCTTTTAGGTGAACAAAAATCCAATAATGGAACTTTTTCTCCCCCATCCTCCTCCCAGAGAAAAGAGAGCAAACAAAAAAAGAAAAACAGGGCCCAGTAGGACAAAGGATAAGTTTCTTGTGTGTTCTTCAATGTTCTTTAAGTAGTAATTACACTGGTTTTTAGTTCTTTTTATTGTGAAGTTCACCTGTTCTTCAACAATACTAAATAGTGTCTTCCACTTTTCTTTGCAGGGCCACAGATAATCAGGTATACTGATGCCATGGATCTTTCTCATACATATATATATATGCTTCCCTCCAACTGGTTCTCTACATATTGTACTACCTTTTGCTTATGTCTCTGTGTTCCTTATTTTCTGCTCTCATCAAAATTCCTGTCATCATGATTATTTGTTCTCAGTCACAAGTCTGCACCAAATGTCATCGCATGCTGTGCCCTATATTTTCTTATGCTTCCTTGCCTCATACATTCTCCTTTATTGGCAAATATTTAGTTCTACTAAATTAGTATTGTTAGGACATTCATTAGGGGGTCTTGGGTTCAAGACCTCACACTTACTCCAAAAAAAAAAAAGAATGTTTTCAAGAAGGAACCATTCTCTGGTAGTATTCAAGCAATCCCTTTAAATTTCTAATTTATACATGACCACCCTCCACAATCTCCAGTTCAGTTTTATTGTTCTTGGTGATCTGTTGACATTTAACTTGGAAATGGAAGAAGGTTAAAATGACATATTCCTTTCCTCAACCAAGGTAACAAGTATATGTACTCATTTTGTTTCTTTGATATTTCTATCTGCTTATTTTCCCTACTTCTCTTTTGCTATCAGGACTCATTTGCTCAAATTGTAGATCAAGGCCTCAAAAACATTCTCCAAATTAGAATCATTAATTTTTGAAAGTGAATTTGATGAGCTGGTCAAATTCAGATACTCGTAATTCATTCCTTAGATTGGTTAAAATTCATTAGTGGGGATGATATAACTAGTGTCACACTCCAGATGCCATACAAGTTCACTAACAATTCCAAATCAGGCTACATGAAAATTTGTTTAAAACTGGGAAGAAGTATGTTGAATGTTATGAAGAAAATAGAAACTGCAGTGGCAGGAGCACGGGCCTATTTTACTCTGTATAATTTACTAGGGATATGTGTGAAAACCCTATAAAATCATTAATATTCAAATTAGATGAAATGTGAATGATGATAGTCTGACCCAGGAAAAGGGGAAGATGAACATCACTTACTCTTAAGTTGGGCCAAAAGAACTAATGGATTTAAAAAGTTGAAATGCCCATCAGAATGAGCTAGAGTGAGAAAGACGATATTGAATTAAGCACAGATTGATATGGTTGGATGTTATTTTCGTTCAGCCGATCTTACTGGTAATAGATGACTGTTGGCTCTGAAATTTGTTTGAATGTTCTACATAATGAAACCAATTTCATCTTTAAATTCTTATTTTTCTCTAAATATTATGACAGTTGTATGTAGCAACTTGTTCACCAGCTCGAGATCCTGGAGCTGGATATCAGGCTTGGGGCCATTCCACTCTCGTTGGACCAGTAAGTCAAGGCATCGTTCTTTTATCTCATCCTTTTGGAATGTTGAGTGGCTTCTCAACAGGGAAACATTCTCTTCTAATCTGTAAATTTTGAACTGGGTTCCCTCACTCCAACCACGAATATAACTTTGATATGTCTATGTATATAGAAAAATTTGAAAGATTTAGTAATAGCAAACCATGAATTTGTCTATGTTGCAGTTTGGAGAAGTGCTAGCAACTACAGAACATGAAGAAGCTATACTTGTAGCAGAGATTGACTATTCACAAATTGAACTCAGAAGGTGAATGGTGTTGATTCTCAGGCCCCTTGCCCCATCCCAGCAAACGAAAAAAGGAGAAAGAAAACCATCCACACGCACATCACACAGTGTCTTCCCTTTTACGCATTATGATTTCTGTTCACGTGCTTATGCTTTTAACATTTCAAATTTTAATGTCATCTGCATCTGTTTCTAGTTAATGATTTTGTTCTCTTAAATCCAATTTGTTGCATGTAGGACTAATCTTCCACTGGAGAAGCAAAGGAGAGGTGACCTTTACCAGTTGGTAGATGTTCACAGGTTGAATTCTAAATGAATCTGTTGAAGAACATTATAAGTTGCTACTGATGTATAATTAATTGCATTAATCATCAGAAGTACTACCGTTGTGTGGAATAATATGAAACACTACTGAGTATTTGCAGCCACCAGAGGAAGCTCATTGGTTTACTTGCTGTGGCAAGTCCCCCTCCCTTGTCCCATCTATTTGTTAGGCGGCTAGCAGCATTTTCTTTTTTAAATCTATTTACCTGTGATCACAAAAAATTTTTGGTGACCTCGACCCTTCAAATTTTGGAGGAATTTAAGTTACAAATTGGCTGAGAAGTGCCATATACATCATCCTATCACTAGGTTCGATTGTCCCGAGTAACCTTCATGTTGTTTTGCCTTGGACTTGATAAAGAATCTCCCGTTTTTTAATTAGATTCTTCCTCATTCGAACATCTTTAATAGATAAGTAGCTTTCTGAAGTTCTCATTCCCGAAGTCTTTTAGCCACTGAATCGAGATGTTATGTTGACAATGACGCAGACATTGTGCTTAAGAGGAGGAGAAGATTGTGGGAGGTTAGCTGGTTTTGAGAGTGAGAAGATGCCTAATTTACTGTAACTTGGCTTGATTTTCTATGTAGCATATAAATTTGCATAATGTCTCGTGGATTGATATCAGGGTTGAATCTGGTCGGAAGCCAGTATGCATGACTGCTGTCTTAAAAACCAAAGCAAGGATCAGAACTTGGCAGTGCACGTGGAGCTTCTTAGTGCTTTGGCTCCGGACAACAACACAGAGAATTCGCTGTCAGAAACGGAGGGGAAAAGACAATATGCGATCGTTCGTTGGCGGCTTTTGTCGACAAAAGACTCGCTGTTTTCGTACCAAGATAATTTTGAAAGAAAGGAAAGAAAAGAAAAGAAGAGAAAAAGAAAGATCCAATTCGTTCATCCTCAAAAACAGTGACCTCTCCCTCACTCATGAGCAGATTTTCCTCGGGATCCCCAACCCACCACCATCTTCTTCCTTCACCATCCGCTTTGAATCTCTTGTCACTCACGCATGCACAGCCCTATTGGCATTGTTCTCTCTCTCTTTACAGCCTGTGTTTGTTTTGTTTCGTTTCGATTTGATTTTTGGGTAAGGAACAAGTACATTGATCTTTTTGGTGAAGAAGTGTAAAAGAATCAGTGTAGCAAGTGGAGTTCAAGTGAGGAAAAAGTCTGGAAAAGATAAAGGTTGTTATAATTAACTTTCAATATATACAGTTTGGTGAAATCCAAATTTTACTTATATGTCATATGTTGAGTCGTGATAATATATACACTATCAGTATATATAAGATTAACTCTTACTATAATTATATAAGCTATATTCTAGTCTTTGTATACATAACGCATTTTTTTTTTTTGAGTGAAAACCACAGGAATTAATCAATAGTTACCGTGATAGGAAGTATTATATGATATGAACATACCTTATGAAAGTGCGATACAATGCGGATGCAACTCATGATTGATAAAACTTGAATCCAGATCTGTTTGAATTCAATGTCCTCGCCTTAATATGTAAAACTTGGGGTTTCCAAATTGCTCAAGATCATGTAATGTGCAAATCAAGTTTAGTGCAAACATAGGGTGTAAAAAAAATCATCGCGAATGCTTTGTTTAGGTTTGATTTCTTGGTGGATTAGACAAAGTTTCAAATTCGAGATCAAAGTTACCCGACAATATATCATACATGAGCCTAACACTAGTAGATACTTGGTTGAAATCAAGCTTAACTAATGTAAAACTTGTCTAAGGCTCTATTTCATAATTAAGTCAGTATTCAGATCTTAACATGTTCAGATGCCTTTTAATAACTAAATAGAACGTCTGAATTAATTAAATGGTACTGAATTTTCTGGGCAAAACTTGAAAAAAAAAGTGATCAATTATTTACTTATCACTTAATATGATATACGCTCAAATGTATCAGATTTATTACTTAACAATTTAATAATTTAATGTATTCAATCTTTATATTCATATTTCAACTTTCAATTTTATTAAACGCATCCTAATTACTTGAGTCCAATGAGGTAACAAACTAATCACTAATAAACTCTTAAAGAGCGTTGTCTCAAAGTAACTTAGCTTTATGTCTTAACCATATTAAAAAAAAATTCTTTTAAGTACTAGCATTTGGATCGACTTGACTACAAAAGAAAATAAACAAACATCTTTGGTTCAAGTTTAGAACTTTCATAGGTTTTTTTTTTTTTTTTTTTTTGTCAAATGTCAACAATTTACGCCTATGCCTACTTCTACTTCTACACTATGAGAATTATTTTTTTTTTATCAAATGTCAATAATCTACACGTATACCTACACCTGCTTCTACTTCTACACTATGGAAAAGAGAACAAACCCAATTGGATAATTGGGAATTGGAGGGGTCTAAACTACTTCTACCTACACCTACTTCTACTTCTACACTATGGAAAAGAGAACAAACCCAATTGGATAATTGGGAATTGGAGGGGTCTAAACTACTTCTGAATTAGATAGGTATACCAATTGAATTTGAAAAAGTCACATATTAATAGCAATTGATAGGAGGCATGATAAAATTCTTAGACCTCCCACCTCACAAAAACCTTAAGTGCCTTTGTAGTGGTTAATAGCCCAAGGGCGTTGATTTAGAATTTTGAGAGTTTTTTTTTTTTCTGGACACGATAAATTTTAATTTATACCTACTTTTACTTTATACTAGGGAGAGGGGGAACCTAAGAACGGTCAAAGGAGGAACTCAAAGGGATTGAAACACCATCGGTCCGTTCGGATGTCCATTCGGATGTCCATGCACTCCCTGGCGAAATTTGTTTAGAAAATTCTGGATTAGAATGCTGGTGAAGGTGAAATTTTGAGAGGTTGATGATACGAATTCTTGCCGACAAGGGGTGGGACAGGGATAAACGTGTCAATAAATGATTGAAAGGCATGTTTTAGATTTGAGAAATTCTGGGGGCACAAAAGCAATAAATGGTAAGAGTGATGTAAGGAATGGTACACCTTAAAGCCGAGACATCAATTCCGGGGCTCTGACTCACACGTGTCAGAGCGACTGGTTCACGTGCTGATGGCCCTCAGTCGGAGTCCGAGCCCTTGTGCATGATGCAACCACACTCCTCCAATCATTGGTCCCACGTATTACTTATTCAACACCAAACGCTCTGTCCGTACTCGATGAGAAGTTGGATCAACTCATGGCCGCGTACGCCTTAAACTGATTCTCATCGAGGGTTTGTTTGGATAGGGTATTATTTGAAATAATTACTATAATATTTTTTATGATGTGATATATGTGAAATAAAAAGGTAATTAGGAAGATAAAAAACTATATTAGAAATTGTAATGGTGATGTCAGCAAATATATTTGACCAAATAATCTGCTGTCCAAACAAACCCGCAGAATTGAGTCAAGAATGGAGCTCGGTTTAATTTTATCAAACTTAAATTTAATTTCGAACCTAATGAATTTTTAATATAAAATTTGAACTCGAATCCGACCCCAAGTCTAGATAATTTAGATTAAGTTATATTAACTACTGTGTGACGCGAATAGGAAGTTGATGTATGGTGTTGTGCATGCAATTTCAAACTCTATAGATGAAAGATTGTCTTCAAATCCGACTAATACTTATATTTATCAGAGCGCGATTCGAACTGCAAATTTATTTGTGATGTTATGCATGCAATTGCAAACCATGCGGATGAAAGATTGTGTCCGAATCCAGCAAGTAGCTTTACATTGTGGGAGAGAATCAGAATCACTGTCATGGTTAATACACTATCATGGTTTAATAAACGCCGCGTAAGTGAAATTTATATTTGAAATTCAAATTCAACATATGCAGTATTCATTCAACTATGACAGTGCATACATTATCAGTGTATAGAAAATTAATCTTTTATTTTTTTTTGATAGGTTTAAAACTTCTATGTTATGTTTAAACATATAGTGTCAATTAAAGCTCAAATTGCAAACTTGAAACTATTTTGAAAAGAGGAGGATATTAAAAAATAACAAAGAATGAAAGACAGAAAAGATGCAGACGGCAATTCAATTCAAATGAGAGATCTTCATTTAGGCAGACTGGATCACTACACGCATATCAAAATGTTATAAGACTTGACTCGATTTGAGCTTTATATTAACTTGTTCAATTTTCTCTTCATCGTCCTCCTCATGGCCTTCAACAAAAGCCAAATTTGATTGATTACTGTTCTCGCAAGCCTAAGCCATTTATTAGACAGAAGATGGACAAATTTGGTGTTGATGAACAGGGGATAAAGTACAATTGAGATTGATCAAGGCAGCGGGGGAGCCATCCAACATTGTGGCCTCCATGAAGTAATGTACTTGGAGACAATATACAAATATAAGTTGGCTGGTTAGTAGACAATGTTACGTGTTAAGAGACAAATTTCCAAGTTGATTTGTCAATGAATCCAAATCTTCAACAGCGTTAAGTCTTGAGGGACAAGGTTCCTAGTTGATTATCAAGGAGTCCTTATGATTCAACGATGTTAAGTGCAAAGCGACAAAGTTTCATGTTGATTTGTCAAACAGCCCTATCCTGCTTATAAAAATTTATTGGCTGCTTTGAATTAGTGTTACGGTCTGACTAAGAGATATTTTAGGTGTTGTATTTTTAGAAATATAAAATTTATTAGCGAAAGTGAATAAATACAAGAGAGAGTAGGCAAGATTAAATAGGAAAACGGTATAAATGCAAGAAAAGATAATAATTGTTAGTGTATATATACGGTATAAACGGTAGGTAGATTAGGTAAATGTTAAGTGTATTAATGGGTGCCTTTATTAGAAAAATCCTTACTGCTATTGGGATGGAAGTTGATGTTCATACTTCTTTTGCTTGATGAAATTATTATTTTTCTTCCAAATATATGACACTAGAAGTTAATGGTTGGTTGTAGGTAACAGTTGATTATTACAACCACACTTTTATTTTGTCTCCAACTCCAAGCTTGCGGCTGGATAATAGGATGAAATTTTTTTACTGCAGGTGAAATTTGAACCCCCATCTCTAACCCAAAAAGGGACTGAAGTCCCTCCCTAGTAGCCATTGAGCTAGCCAAGTGGTTGAGTAAATAAAAACAATGGGTTTTTCTAAGTATTCGTTAACATATTTGAATTATACTCAACTTATCATGTAAATATACACACTAATGATTATTACCCTCAATTTCGTGTATATACTTTTTCTAATTGACTGTACTTTTGCAAAATTTTAATACTGTACGTGACCAAAGACACTAAAACTTGAGGAATATTTCCAACTGCAATGTGTACAATTAATACGAAATTGTCTCTACGCATTTATAGCCTACTTATGAACAATCTTTTCAAAGTAGAACTCTTGTCTATTATTAGAGTTATTAAGCTTGATTGTCAACCACAATTGTGGGAATTAACGGCGAACGGGCAAAAATGGTTCCATTTATTTAAGCGAAAATAATTAGCGCGCTTCGTCGACATAGTACATTTGTAGAGCCAATCATTAATTGCAGCTGGCCATGCAGAGAGCTTTGGTTGCTGTTTCAAGTAGCTAATCTGACGTTAAAGGATATTGGATAGTATTTTCCAAGGATGAATACCAATAACTTTTTCTTTTGAGGGTTCGATAGATATTCCAAATTTTATAATTAAAGAGGAATGCCAACGATAAAGGTTTGAAAGAATCGAGAATTTCACGGCCACTCGACTAATATCTTTTTTGTCTTGAAAGCAATGTAGGTTTTGTGTGACTTAAGTATACTACAAATGCCCAGTGAACATCTGTTAGACAAAATCTTAATTTTTAATTCAAGTTTGAGTATGATTGAACTTCGAAAGTTCATGTATGTGAATAGAAAGATGGGAGTATAAGTATTCGTATCAAGTTAGTCACGTATATTCATGTTGAAATTGAAATCCAACAACAACTTAATTAACAATATGCATACACAAACTTCTTGAATTCCTAATTCTTGGTGATCGCTGGATCCCTAATCTTTGTTATACTCAAAGTCAAAGGCACCATCACTTAGGGGAAACTTCCAAGCCATATTCAAGCCATACTCAAAGTCTAGTTACGTACTATCTATCAATCCATATTGGAAAAATCTCTTTATCCATTAAAAAAACAGGTGCAGTCCCCTTGTCTCAAAACATTAATAGAGTAGTGAAGTACATTGCACGAACACCTTAT